AAACGGTCGTGCAGACCGCAATGAAAGTTGGAGGCAACACACACACACACACACACACACACACACACACACACACACACACACACACACACACACACACACACACACACAAACACACTGGACGCGCACCTTTGTCGGCCTCCTTTGGCGCAACAGTTGGGTCGTCCAGCTCCATCTTCGCGTGTCGTCTGTCGTGAACTGTCACCACACAAAAAAAGAATACACAAAAAACAATGGCCAGCAGAATTGACCAATGAGAACACACCTGTTATCGCTACCCGGACTGAATTCAGTTCATGTGTGAATTATGTGTGTTTTGCGTAACATTTCCGTGTTGCCGCAAGCAACCGGAATCAAGTGTTTGGCGCAACGAACCCAAGCAGCGTGTCGTGCTGTGTCGTGCTGCGCCGTGCTGTCCCGTTTGCCACCGGAGCCACGCGTGCTGCTCTCCGCGTCCCCCCCTCTTCTCTCTTCGCTTGCTTTTTGCACGCACGCACGAGCTGACTGGCGGTTGTGTGTGTCCTGGAGAGAGCGGGAGTTGCAGCAGCAACACAGCACAGGAATAAAAGCGCACAGCAGCACAGAATCACAGCTGTGGCCATTCACTCATTTCCCCTTCCTTCTTGTGCTCCTCGATTCCTCCCCACTCGAGTGGAGAACAAGCTCAAGAAGGCACGCACACGCCACTCAGCAAGCGCAGCGACAAAAGATGATGGGCTTGGGCCGTGTACTGCGATGGCTTCGCCGAAGCTCAGAGTAAGTCCAGAGCGGGTGAGAGAGAGAGAGAGAACAAGAACATCAGGACATCAGGACAAGAAAAGAAACGCTGCGTGCGGGCACACAACAGACTTTCATGCATGTGCTCCCATTTCTCCACCTCTCGCCGCCGCTGCTGCTGCTGCTGCTGATGCCATAGCTCATGATCGCTGCTTACTTTTTGTTTACATGTTTGCAGTGCGGTGCATCAGATGGAGGAAGGCGGCGAGGGCGGCGCGCGGTTTTCTCGCAGCACGTCTCGCCGACACCTCAACGGCAATGGCAGACCCACGGCCATGTCCGTCTTTGAAACCTCAAGACGCAACTCCTTCTCGGGCGTCTCCACAGCAAGCTTCGAGGTGCGCGCATGTGGTGGACTGTGTTAGTGTTGGTTTGTAGCATGTGTGTGTGTGTGGGTGCGTGTGTGTGTGTGTGTGGGTGTGTGGGTGGCTGACATGCTGTGGCTGCTTGTTTCACGAGTCAGTCAACCGGACACGTGCACGCACGCGAACGCATATGTGCACGCACATGCGCATGTGTACGTGCACATACCTGTGTTGATGACACTGGGCTCACATGATTGTTCCATGTCGCGCGACAGTTTGTGGAGCCTGGTGCGGTGGCGTCCCCAACACAGAACGAACCATCGACCTCGCCTGCGCCCACCGAATTTGTAGTTGGCGACAAGCCCGTCTTCACAGGTGTGTATGTGTGTGCGTGTGTTGGTTTGTGTGTATGTGTGTATTGTGTGTGCGTGTGTGCGTGTGTTCCGGTGCGTTGTGACCCTGCGTTGCCTCCTCCGAGCACACAACTCAACACACACATACACACACACAACTCAACACATACTCATAACCACACACACACACAACACAAACACCACACCACATCGCAATAGGCGGCACAGCGGATGCGTGGATGATGTACTGATCACGCTCCGTCGCCCTCGCGTCGTCGCATCGTCGCTGCCAGCGTTTATCTCTTAGCTCTTTCTTCTTAACTGGAACCAGCGTCCCTGTCGCCCCACACAGAGACGGCCAACCAACACCCCCCCCGCCCCGTTTAATCGCCCAACCATGACTTCTCTTTTCCCGCCCCTCTCTTCCCCCCCCCTTCTCTCCCTCCCTCCCTCCTTTCCCCTCTCGCTTCCCCTCCCTCCCTCCTGTATCCCTACCTGATGGCTGCATGCACGCCCTCCAAACACACACGCACACGCACACACGCGCGTGTTTGTGTTGATGTTCGCCTGTTCACACAAACCGAAGTTGCTCTTTCGTTTCCCACCCACCGCCACCACCGCCCTTACCACTGGCTCTCCGTCGAGAGTGTGTCGCCTTTTCCGTACTTTCGTTGCTCCCTTCCCCTTGTTGTTCGTTCAACACACGATACGCGACGCAGTGTGGTCTTGGCTGTTGTTCTCCATGCGACTTGACGTTCAATGCATGATATGGTGGTGGCGGGCTGGGCTGCCAGTTCCGCGTGGCATTTGCTCTGTAGGTTGCTTCTCTCTCTCTCTCTCTCTCTCTCTCTCGCTCCTCTTGCTCGAGCACTTTCTCTTTCCTAATACACAACCTTCCCCCTCTCATCCAACACACACACAAACACTCGCGTGCGCTTGCTGGTGCATCAGCATCACACACTGACCACAGAAAGAACACAAACACGCAAAGAGGAAAGAAAACGGAAGGGAGAAAGGATGATGGTGATGAGCAACAAACTGCTGGTGGCGGTGTTGGCGTGCAGCTGCTCCTTGGCGTTCGCCTTCTACACAGCAGATCTGCACATCCCGCTCGAGGAATGGGACGCCGAGGAGGTGTGTGTGTGTGTGTCTGTGTGTGCCTGTGTGTGTCTGTCTGTGTGTGTGTGTGTGTTGTTTGTGGTTGTGTGTGTGTGTGTGTGCCTGTGTGTGTGTGCTGTTTGTGTGTGTGTGTCTGTGTCTGTGTGTCTGTCTGTCTGTCTGTCTGTCTGTCTGTCTGTCTGTCTGTCTGTCTGTACTCTGTCTGTGTGTCTGTGTGCCAGCATGTCCGTCTATCAGCCTGTTTGTCTGTACATGTCTTTGCGCTTTCTCCTGATGTGCCACTCCATCCCGTACCCTCGACATCTCACACCACAACCCATCCCCAACGCTGCACCCCCCCCCCTGCAACACAGGTGCAGCACTGGCTCGTGTCAATTGGGTTGTCGTCCATCGTGCCCACTGTCGCCAACCTCAGGGTCAACGGAGCATTGCTGAAGACATGGATGGACACGGGCGCGTACCCACGCGAGCTCGGGCTCTCCGATATCCAGACCATGAACCTTCAGCTGCACCTTGACTCGCTCGCACACGCATCTCGCGCGCAACAAGCAAAGTAGGCTGTCAGTGTTCGTGAGCGAGTGCATGTGAATGTGTGTGTGTGTGTGTGTGTGTGTGTGTCTGCAACGGCGTGGCCGCAGGTCTGTGTTAGTACATCAAGCTCCTCTACTGCTGCGTCTCTCAAACTGCTGCGTCTCTCATACTGCTTCAAGTGTCTCTCTTTGAATGCTCATACATCTCCACCACCTCTTCTTCTTCCTCTTCCCCATTGAAGGCCATCTGCAAGCAACGGCTGGCCGTACCTGCACCCTTGCCAATTCCGTGGGTACAGTCATGCCGTGCGCGCGCGTGTGTGTGTGCGTGTGCGTGTGCGTGTGCATGTGCGTGTGCGCGTGTGTGTGTGTGTGTGTGTGTGTGTGTGTGTGTGTGTGTGTGTGTGTAGCGTCGAAAGGCTGACATGTGTGCAAACCGCAGTAGCGTACCCATGCGATTGAGGCAAGCAAAGGGAGGAAAACAGGACGTTGACATACGGGCGCGCCGGCACATTCATGCGCACGCACGCTGCCATATTGACAACAGATGCGCACGCACGTACCCAGAGATCAAAGGTCGCGTATTCAAAGAGGATCCATATCTGCTTCGGGTCCACGGTGGGGCGAAGGAACGTGTCCTTGATCATGATGATGTTCTTGTGCTTCAGCTCACGTAGCAACTGTAACATGGAGTGGTTGGCGAAGGGGGGGGTGATGAACAGGAAGAGAATGATGAAGGGCGAGAGGGTGGGACGAGAGTGGCATCATGCCGTGGCGCAGTCGGCACCCACCTGAACACACACACGCACACATGCACACACGCACACACACATGTACGCACACATGCACACACACACACACACACACACATAGACACACACACACACATAGACACGCACCGAGAACTCGCGGAGTGCGGGGACGGAGACGTCGAGGTTCTTGGTTGTTGGCGCCTGCATCGCCTTCAGTGCGTACCAGCGCTGCGGGTCGCGATCACTGT